TCTCATTAGGTGGCCAAAGTATTTGAGTTTCATCTTCAGTATCTGGCTTTCTAAAGAGCAGTCAGGACTGGTCATCTCTAGGACTGACCAGTTTGATTGCCTTGTGGTCCAAGGGACTTGCAGGAGTCTCCTCCAGCACCACAATTCAAAGGCCTCAATCCTTCGGCGCTCAGCCTTCCTTATGGTCCAGCTTTCACAGCCATACATTGCAACTGGGAAAACCATAGCCTTGACTATACACACTTTTGTTGGCAGGGTGATATCTCTGCTTTTTAGCATGCTGTCTAGATTCGCCATAGCTCTCCTCCCTAGGAGCAAGCGTCTTTTAATTTCTTGGTTGCGGTCCTATCTGTGGTGATCTTGGAGCCCAGGAAAATAAAATCTGTCACTACCTCCATTTCTTCCCCATCTATTTGCCAGGAAGTGAGAGGACCAAATGCCATGATCTTAGTTTTCTTAATGTTGAGTTTCAAGCCAACTTTTGCACACAATCAAAGGCTTTAGCATAGTCAATGAAACAGAAGTAGATGTTTTTCTGGAACTCCCTAGTTTTCTCCATGATCCAGCGTATGTTGGCAATTCGATCTCTAGTTTCTCTCCCTCTTCGAAATCCTGCCTGTACTTCTGGTAGTTATCGGTCCACATACTGCTGGAGCCTAGTTTGTAGGATTTTGTGCGTCACTTCACTAGCATGTGAAAGGAGTGCAATGGTGCGGTAGTTTGAACATTCTTTGGCATTGCCCTTCTTTGCGATTGGAATGTAAACTGACCTTTTCCAATCCTGTGGCCACTGTAGAGTTTTCCAAATTGGCTGACATATTGAGTATAGCACTTTTACCGCATCGTCTTTTAAGATTTTGAATAGTTCACCTGGAATACTGTCACCTCCACTAGCTTTGTTGTTGCTCAGACCTCCTAAGGCCCATTTGACTTCACATTCCAGGATGTCTGGCTCAAGGTCAGTGACCACCCCATCGTGGTTATCAGGGATGTTAAACTCTTTCTTGTATAGTTCTTCTGTTTAATCTTGCCCCCTCTTCTTAATCTCTTATGCCTCTGTTAGGTCCCTGCCACTTTAGTCCTTTATCATGCCCATCTTTGCATGACATGTTTCCTTCATATCTCCAATTTTCTTGAAGAGATATTTGGTCCTCCCTATTCTATTGTTTTCTTCTATTTCTTTGCACTGTTCATTTAAGATGGCATTCTTATCTCTTCTAGCCATTCTCTGGAATTCTGCATGCAATTGGGTGTATCTTTCTCTTTCTCCCTTGTCTTTCACTTCCCTTCTTTTCTCAGCTATTTGTAAAGCTTCCTCAGACAGCCATTTTGCTTCCTTGCATTTCTCATCTCATGAGGGGCTCATCTTCCGGCATCATATCTTTTTGCCTTTTTGGTATTGTCCATGGGGTTTTCATGGCAAAGATACTGGAGTGAGTTGCCATTTCCTTCTCCATATACCTGGTTCCAACCCCATGTAATTACTATATGCTTGGCAATCTTCTGATCCTAAGTTTGTATAACCATGTTTTCCAATGTCCATAGAACACCCCCTCACAATGATGTGAGTTTCCTAAAAAGAGTCTTTGTTTGTACTACCTGTTCCTTTGAAAATACTTTAAAAACTCCTACATGCTTAGTCTACCAGGCTTAGGCATGAGATGGACCACAAAGCTAGAAGCAATGCAAACAATTAAATAAAGTTGTTCATTAAGGCACTATTTAGTACCAAATGGAATCATATTTAGTTTGGGGTTTTACAGTGTGCAACAATACATGGCAAGATTTCAAGAGCCACCATTGTTGAAACAGGCCACTAAATGGCAGTTTTTCTTAAATCAAATTTCTGAAACCTCCACCCCAAATTTACTCACAGCCAAATTCACTCACAACCAGGTCCAGGGACTAGGCATGGTGTTCTCCTGATGCCAAAGCAACTCCTGTCGCAGTACAGGCTATCAGATCTGCTACCCTTTCTTGGATGCACACCTTAATATGATGAGGATTTTGAAAGTGTCAGAAAAGCCATGAACAATACTGCCAAGAGGCCATATTCTCTCATCAGTCTGGTTTCCTAGCAGGGTCACTCAAGACTGACTGATCAAAGCTGAGACAACAGACTAAAATACATCCATCCTCTTCAGGAGTAATGGCTATATCAATGCAAAAGAATAGATTTCTCTAATGGCAACAGGTGCAGAGAAACTACTGAAGAATAGTGCCTGGGCAGCAGAGATAATTGAAAGCAAGACAGGCAGAGGATCTTTCACTGAAAATAGCAGTGGCACTCAAGCTCACTCCAGTTAGTACTGTGCAGAATGGTAACAGTCCTCTCTACAAATTTCTCCAAGTCGAATAAGGTAAAGCTGCCCTGGAAA